TCACTGTAGTTTTGATTTGCATTTCTCTAATGATTAGTGATGTTGAGTGTCCTTTCATGTGTTTCTTGGCAATCTGTATGTCATCTTTAGAAAAATGTCTATTTAGGTCTTCTGCCCATTTTTGGATTGGGTTCTTTGTTTTTTTGATTTTGAGCTCATGAGCTGCTTGTATATTTTGGAGATTAATCCTTTGTCAGTTGCTTCATTTGCAAATATTTTCTCCCATTCTGAGGGCTGTCTTTTCATCTTGTTTATGGTTTCCTTTGCTGTGCAAAAGCTTTTAAGTTTCCTTAGGTCCCATTTGTTTATTTTTGTTTTTATTTCCATTTCTCTAGGAGGTGGGTCAAAAAGGATCTTGCTGTGATTTATGTCATAGTGTTCTGCCTGTGTTTTCCTCTGAGAGCTTTATAGCGTCTGGCCTTACATTTAGGTGTTTAATCCATTTTGAGTTTATTTTTGTGTATGGTGTTAGGGAGTGTTCTAATTTCATTCTTTTACATGTAGCTGTCCAGTTTTCCCAGCACCAATTATTGAAGAGGCTGTCTTTTCTCCATTGTATATTCTTGCCTCCTTTATCAAAGGTAAGGTGACCATATGTGCGTGGGTTTATCTCTGGGCTTTCTATCCTGTTCCATCGATCTATATTTCTGCTTTTGTGCCAGTACCATACTGTCTTGATTACTGTAGCTTTGTAGCATAGTTTGAAGTCAGGGAGCCTGATTCCTCCAGGTCTGTTTTTCTTTCTCACGATTGCTTTGGCTATTTGGGGTCTTTTGTGTTTCCATGCAAGTTGTGAAATTTTTTGTTCTAGTTCTGTGAAAAATGCCAGTGGTAGTTTGATAGGGATTGCACTGAATCTGTAGATTGCTTTGGGTAGTAGAGTCATTTTCACAATGTTGATTCTTCCAATCCAAGAACATGGTATATCTCTCCATCTGTTTGTATCATCTTTAATTTCTTTCATCGGTGTCTTATAGTTTTCTGCATACAGGTCGTTTGTCTCCCTAGGTAGGTTTATTCCTAGGTATTTTATTCTTTTTGTTGCAGTGGTAAATGGGAGTGTTTCCTTAATTTCTCTTTCAGATTTTTCATCATTAGTGTATAGGAATGCAGGAGATTTCTGTGCATTAATCTTGTATCCTGCAACTTTACCAAATTCACTGATTAGCTCTAGTAGTTTTCTGGTAGCATCTTTAGGGTTCTCTATGTATAGTATCATGTCATCTGCAAACAGTGACAGCTTTACTTCTTCTTTTCTGATTTGGATTCCTTTTATTTCTTTTTCTTCTCTGATTGCCGTGGCTAAAACTTCCAAAACTATATTGAGTAATAGTGGTGAGAGTGGGCAACCTTGTCTTGTTCCCGATCTTAGTGGAAATGGTTTCAGTTTTTCACCATTGAGAACGATGTTGGCCCTGGGTTTGCCATAAAAGGCCTTTATTATGTTGAGGTAAGTTCCCTCTATACCTCCTTTCTGGAGAGTTTTTATCATAAATGGGTGTTGAAAGCTTTTTCTGCATCTATTGAGATGATCATATGGTTTTTCTCCTTCAATTTGTTAATATGGTGTATCACATTGATTGATTTGTGTATATTGAAGAATCCTTGCATTCCTGGGGTAAACCCCACTTGATCATGTTGTATGATCCTTTTAATGTGCTGCTGGAGTCTGTTTGCTAGTATTTTGTTGAGGATTTTTGCATCAGTGTTCATCAGTGATATTGGCCTGTAGTTTTCTTTTTTTGTAACATCTTTGTCTGGTTTTGGTATCAGGGTGATGGTGGCCTCGTAGAATGAGTTTGGGAGTGTCTCTCTCTCTCTGCTATATTTTGGAAGAGTTTGAGGATAGGTGTTAGCCCTTCTCTAAACGTTTGATAGAATATGCCTGTGAAGCCATCTGGTCCTGGGCTTTTGTTTGTTGGAAGATTTTTAATCACAGTTTCAATTTCAGCGCTTGTGATTAGTCTGTTTATATTTTCTCTTTCTTCCTGGTTCAGTCTCGGAAGGTTGTGCTTTTCTAAGAATTTTTCCATGTCTTCCAGGTTGTCCATTTTATTGGCATAGAGTTGCTTGTGGTAATCTCTCATGATCCTTTGTATTTCCGCAGTGTCAGTTGTTACTTCTCCTTTTTCATTTTAATTCTGTGTCGTAGGCTTTTTAAAACTGAGATTTGAAATCAGTGCCGCTGTGTGACCCTGAACTGAGGCCACAGGGCAGGAGAGAGACCCCCACGGTCCTGACTCTGTTCAAAGCGTCAGTCAGGATATTGTCCACATTGCTATTTTCCTGCAGCTAAAAGGGACATGGTGGGAGCTGTGAGGTGGCTCATGGTGTCGTCACGAGAGCAGCTGTAATTCTGAAACTGGAAAAACCCACGGAACTGGTGCTGGAGATGCTCAGGAGGCCGCAGCGCCCGTGTTTGTCACGCGTCTCCACTTGGATTTCAGATCCAGCTCAGGCGTGCATGCTGGGCTGCAGACAGTGCAGCCACCTCCTCCTGGACGAATTTCCAACCAGGGAATAATGGGCAGGCGGTTGGAGAAGGGGGCGCTGGCCAGGGAGGGGTCCGTCCTTGTGGCTGGTGAGCCAGTAGCCTGACAGCTCACAACCCTTGGAAGTGAGAAATCTGTTGTAGGAAACAAAGTCTCCAAACCAGGCAAGGTGCCTCATGAATCCTTTTGGGTGTAAAAATTGTTGCAAATCTTTTTGTCAGAAACGTCAACACTGGTAATGTCATCTCGCCTTTGCAGAGGGAAGTGATGCCAGAACACTTTGATGTGTTTTTTCCTTAAATAGCTCTTCCTCGGAAGTGCTGGAACATCAGTCACCCAGTGCTCCTGTGCAGGCTCCTCGCCAGCTACCTCCCCCCACCGCCCCAGGTCCCACCCTCGCGACGACTGCCCTCCGCTGTGTGGGCTAAAACAGCAGCATCTAATGTAGCAATGCGTCCCTGAGACGTTTCAAGCAAGGAGCCAGTAAAATACACAATTTTGTTTTCACCAAGTCCTCCCTCAGGACAGCCTTTCGGGGGCCCGGCGTGGGCAGTTTTCCTTGGAGAAATGAATGCCGTCATTTTTCTAACTAGAGCATCGTTCTGCCTGCAGAGTTGGGCTAATGTCAGGACTGCGCCATTGCCCCAACCCCGCTCCAGTACATTCTGTCTCAGCAGGGCTGTCGGTCGGCGTGGGGCATGACTGGTAGCTTTGCAGACACCCCGAGTCCCAGCTGATGGTGATGGGGGAGATGTGCTCCTGTGGTCCAGCCGAATGCCTGGAATCCAGGCACGTGTAAGCCCTGTCACTCGCTCCCCGAGCCAGCCCAGTGACTGTCGGTGGTGGTGGAATGTGGTGGTCACGGCCAAGCTCAGGTTGGCTGCCTGCATCCCGTCCCAGCTGGCTTACCTGGGACAAGTTACTCAGCCTCTCTGGGCCCCCTTGGCCTCATCTCATGAGGTTACCGTAACGAGTAAATGAGATGCCAAGTCAGGCTCTCAGAGGGTCCCTGGGACGTGGAGGGTGCCAGCCATTCGCAACTTCTGTGCAAGAACCTCATTTCAGTCCCCCTGCCTTTCCTCTCCTGCTGCCGGAAGCACAGGTGATTTTTCTCTGATATTGACCATGAGAACCTGGTCCAGCTCCTGGCGCTCAAAGAAGCAAGCTGCCATGTTGTAAGAGGACCTCAGGGAGACCCCCGTGTCGGGAACTGCAGGCAGCCTTTCAGAGCTCAGGGGGGTCTCCGGCCAGCAGCCAGCAAGAGGCCAGCCCCCTTCCAGTCCTACAGTCCCAGGGAGTGAGTTCTGCCCTTCCCTAAGGGCGGCTGCAAGTGGATCCCTCACCAGTCGAGCCTCTGGATGAGAACCAAACCCTGGCTGCCACCTGACTGGAGCCTCACAGAGGGCCCGGGGAAGCAGTGCCGAGGCTCCTGACCCACAGAAACAGAGAGAATGAATGTGCTGTTTAAAATTTACACAGAGTTGGCTCCAGCCCTTTGCGTGTCCCTGAGGCCATGGGATGTACTTCCCCCACAGTCACTGTTCTGGTCAAGCAGGTCTGCGTGCGACTTTCCCTAAACCTGCGCCTTTCCCCTGGGGACTGTCCTCTGTAGCCATCCCACTGGTTTTTTCTTGCTGTTTCTCCTTGTGAGTGCAGCCCAGATTCATTCCCACGGGAGCTTCTCTGGAGGGTTCTTGTCTGTCTCCTAGGCTTGCTGTCTGAGCTCTGTCCTCCCTACAGTGGCAGCTGCTCGATGTTAGCGCCACCAGGGATGTCCCAAGTCATTCCCATTTAAAAAAATTTTTTTTTAATTCTTTTATTTTTTTCCCCATTAGATTTTTTTTCTATTAAGGTGTAGTTGATTTACAGTGTTGTGTTAATTTCTGCTGTAAGAGTCATTCCCATTTAACGTAAAATAAAATCTGGGGGCTTCCCTGGTGGCACAGTGGTTGAGAATCCGCCTGCCAATGCAGGAGACATGGGTTCAATCCTTGGTCCAGGAAGATCCCACATGCCGCGGAGCAACTAAGCCCGTGCACCACAAGTAATGAGCCTGCGCTCTAGAGCCCGTGAGCCACAACTACCAAGCCCATGTGCCGCAACTACTGAAGCCCGCGTGCCAAGAGCCCATGCTCCGCAATGAGAAGCCCGCGCACTGCAATGAAGAGTAGCCCCCGCTCGCCGCAACTAGAGAAGGCCTGCATGCAGCAACGAAGACCCAACACAGTGTAAAATAAGTAACTCTATTTAAAAAAAAAATAAGTAAATAAAATAAAATCTGGGAATCAAATTTTTTTCAGGCCAATTACAATACATCTCGATCAACCCTTTTCTTTTTCTTTCTTAAGGCAATTATAAACTCCCCTAGTTCTTAATTCACACCGAGAACATACTTTTGAGAGAGTGTCTGTAAAATGTACTCAGGTGTTTATTCTGCTGCTGTCTTTCCTCTCAGTTTATTGAATCCTGGTAGTAACCGTTTCTCTCCCTGGTTTGTGGTGTTTCCAGTCATTGAACACTGCGATGAAGCTCCTGTGTGAGATCCTGACTGCTGACCCCGAGGGGGGGCCTGCGCGCATTCCCTTTGAGACTTTCTCCTACGTCTACCGTTACCTGTCGGGACTCGACTGGGATATACCTGCGTCAGACACGGAGTCCTACCTCTCCTCTCTGAAGGACAGCGTGTAAGTGCTCGCGGGCCCAGGAACGCAGGTGTCTCGGTGGCGGGACGACTTCCTTCTTCCCATTCTTCTCTGCTCTCAGATAACGTGGTACCCGCGAATCCGGCCTTTTGTAGAAGGGAAGGTGGCACACGCTGTGCCCCGAGGTGTCACTTAGTGATGCTGAGGATACCCGGGCCTCGGGAGGCTGTGCCGGTCGGTCTCTGCGGACTTCAGAGGGACACAACTTACCCCGTCCTTAAGAAACATGTATCCAAAACGCATCTTGATTCTTAAACACGGGATGTCACATGGTTTAAAACCGGGGTTATGTTCAAAAGTAAGAATTCATTTCTCAACAATGAAACACGGAATGGGTCCCTGCAGGTGGAGGGTGTGAGTGAGGAGAGACCCCGTGCCCCCTGCCCTCCCCCGCCCCGTGCTGTGCTGCCTGTGGTGGGGGGGCGGCGGGGGGAGGGCCGCCCCTCTGGGGGGGACGCGGGGGGAGGGCCGCCCCTCTAAGGGTGGTGATGGTGCTGCTTGGGGCAAGCGAAGCGGGAGGAGGAGGCCCCGTGATGAAAGGGCAGCGCCCCAGGCCGCCAGGCCTCCCAGTGCCGCCTCTGTGCCGGGATGTAGACGAGGGTTCAGATCACGAGAGAGCCAGCGCTGGGAGCTGGTGACGGTGACGGTGACAGCCCCGCCGCCTGGCCCCTGAGAGCCCACGCCCGGCAGGCCCATCACAACCTCCCAGGCTCGGTCCCCTCCACCGTCCCCAACCGCCCATGTCTGGGGTGCCCCGGAGCCGACCTCTCAGCCCTCCCTGTCCCTTCCTCCCCTCCTCCCTTCAGAAGCGCACCCCCTTGAGGACCCGCCACCGGACTGGGCCTCCAGACCCCGTCCTCCCATTTTTCTTCCCTCTGGTCCGTCATCCACCGACGTGGCAACCTCTCCCCTCCCCCTCGAAGCTGCGGCGCCTCGGTCTCTCTCCGCCTCTCCACACACCCGCGGCCGGCCCCGCACTCTGACCTCTCGGACCTCCGTCTGGCGGCCGCGGTTCCTTCATCCTCCTGGGCCTCCCTGTCTCCCCAGACACCACGACTCCCTGGCCCTCTCCTCGCCCGTCCCAGGGGAATCTGCCCGCTGCCAGCGGTCGCCGCTCCCTGATCCTCCTCTTTCCTGAGCGCCCCCTCCGCCCGCTCACCGAGGACGAGCCCGAGGTGGGGCCTGGCGTCCTGCTAAAGCCGTCTGACCTGGGGACCGCCCCCTGCCCCTGCTGCCGTCCCCGACCAGGCCCCAGAGCGGCTCACACTCACGCACTGACCAGAGCCCTCCTGTCCCCCTCCCTGTGGCCAGCCTCTGAGCCCGGCGCTCCGTTCCCCTCTCCTGTCCCCTCCCGCGGGGACCCCAGCGCCTCCTGGCACGCGGCCCCTGTCTGGCCGCTGACCTCCACACTCGGATGTGACAGCGCCCGCTCGCCCTCTCCTCGGCCGTGTAGGTGGGTCCGCTGCACACGTCAGGCTTATTAACACGTCCCAACAGAACTCCATGTCCCCCGGACCTTCCCCTCCGCAGTTCTGCTCCCCCGCTTGTGACCGCGTCACCGTCCCCCACTAGGTCAGGACAAGACGTGGGTGACATTCGACGGAAGCCCCTTCCCCCCCCCCCACCCCCCCCTCAGGGGTCCCTCCACTTCAAATCCTCCTTCGCTGCCCCTGGTTCTGGCCCCACCGGCTCTCCTGCCTGCACCTCCCCAGCTCGGCCGTTCCCCAGACGGCGGCCACGGTCCCCGGGAATGATGACTCGAGTCACGTCCCCGCCACGCCTTCCCGGCCTCTCGCGCCCAGGGGCTGATCCCTGCCCGCCCCGCCCCGTTTGCCTGGTGAGCGCTGCCTGTGCGTCTCTCCCGCCCGCGGCACTTCAGCCACACGCCGCCCTGGGTTTGGAGAAGACAAAACTCGCCCCGACTGCTGGCCTCTGCCCTGGTCTCAGACACCCCGCCCATCTGCACGGCTGCCGAGGGTCCTCAGCTCAGCAAGGCCTCCCCTAAGGGGCTCTGCCCATGAGGCAGCACCTTCCGCCCTGGGTCCCTCCGTGAAGCCGTCTTCCGTGCTGTGCGTGGAGCACAGCCATGCGGCGGGGTC